GAGCCATCTTTCTGGTCCTCCCCTTTCGATTTTGCAGATGAGAAAGTTGAAGCTTCGGACAAGAGAAATAACTTCCCCAAAGTCAGAAAATAAGTTAGTGGAAAAGCTAGTGTCAGAAGCTGGTCTTCCTTCTGGATTATGGTCTTTGTAAATATTAAGAGCTATAATTTTGTTTGTGCCTTTCTCAGCAGTGGGCCATCAAAGGACTAACTTGTTTCTGTAGTATAACTTAATATTGTTTGATGTCACTTTGGTCAGGAGTGTGTGTGTGTGTACATGTGTATGTATGCATATACATTTGCTTACTGTGTATTTGTGTGGTGTGTGCACCATGGTGTACATGTGGAAGTCAGAGGACACGACTTTGAAGGACCCAGTGGCTCTCTCCTTTTACCACGTAGGACCTGAGAGTTGAACTCTAGTCTTCAGGCTTGGTGTCAGGCTCGCTGGTTGCTTGGCAGGGCTTTTGGTTAAAGATGTTGCTTGCACAAGATAAAGAAAATAGGCCATGTACTTGAAGGAGAGAAATGGGGGTGGGTGGAGGTGTGGGGTGGGGAGTAATGCATGGGAAGGTTCGGAGGGTGTAGTAGGTCTTTCTTTGAACTGCCAGCTCCCAAATAGTGACATGGAGACTTATTAATTGTGGAAGCTTGGCCTTAGCTTAGGGTTGTTCCCAATTAGCTTTTTAATTAATCTATTTATATTAATCTGCTTTCTGCCCCGTGGCTTGTTATCTCTGCTCAGTACTGTGTTTCCCACTTCCTCTGAGTCTGGATGGCGAATTGTGCCTCTCTTCTTCCCAGAGTTCCTGTCTCTGCATGGAAGTCCTGCCTATCCTCTCCTGCCTAGCTTTTGGCCTGTCAGCTCTTTATTAAACCAATCAGAAGGTGCCTTTCTGGAGACACATCTTCACAGCTTACAAAAAAGATTATCCCACAACAGGAGGGAGGAAAGGAAAAGAAGACATAATGTGATTATAATCTCAAAAAGTATTAAAAAGAATGAACGCCAGCCCTCCACATTTTCTCTAAAGCTTGATATTTTTCTCATTTAATTGTGACATAATACATATTTATCTAGTGTCTGTAGCCTCTGATAAATTTACAGTTATTCATATTCTGATTTTTTTATTCAAGGTTTGGAACGTTGTGTTATGGAATATACTTTTCAAGTTTATAAAATTGAACAAAATACAGTATTATCTTTTCACTAATCTGTATAATTTGTAGTAATGGACTTTTTATTTCCAAAATTGACGCTGTCAGGTCCAGAAGAAACCCAAGTCAAGGCTCACTCAGTATTTGTGGCCCCTCCCGGCACTTCTCACCCCACCTCCTACCCTAAACCTGGCTAACTCAGGGGACTGAGCTTCTGTTCCCCAGCTTCTAATGGCTATAGAAACCAGCCACTTTTGGCCTCGCTGCTCTCCTGGCTCATGGCTCCTCTCTTGGTCGGCGGCGGCTTTCTAGGTCAGCTTGCCTTCTTTCCTCTCTCTCTTTCTCTCTTCTCTCCCCTCTGCTTTCTCTTCTCTCATGACATGTTTCATCTGGACGCTTCCAGATGCCCTGGGCTGTTCTTTCCCTTATATCTACAATAAAACCCTTCTCCTCGATCATACCTAGAAACATTCATGTCCTCATGTTCATTCAGATACTTGTCTATTTTTATTCACCTGTCTATGGCTTAATACTTCAAAGTCAAACAGCCTTGAAATTATTTTCCTCATAAATAAAACTTTATTTCATTAAAAAGTTCTACATTAGGCAGCCTGCTTCTATTATGTTTTTTTGAGTCTTAGACAAGTTCTGTTTTCAAGTTCTCTATATCTGTTGTTCTCAGTGTGTGCAATTGAGTACTTTTCTTCAACCTCTTTAATTAGGGTGAATGTCCATGAAGGAAGGCGATCTTCTTAGAGACTTTAAGAGTTTGTAGAATTTGGAACTGGAGATTTTGGGGAAGTTGTTGGTAACAGTTAAATTTGGAGATTTCAAGTAGAAATCTGTATGTCTGGCTTCTCTTAAATTCAAATCATTTTAAATAACTGAGTCTGTGGTAATTGCCAGGAGTTGATCAGTTGGGCACAGCTTTTGAGTTGGTCTTTTTTGTAGGTCTGTTCTGTCCATCCCCCACCTGGAGAGGCCACGTGTCATTTTCATTCATTGTGTTTATCGTCCGCCGTTTGCATTGTTTTTGAAAGTAGCAGAGCCTTGGCTTTCTCAATAGAGCTCACTCTTAACACATGGGAAGCTCTGGGGCTCTGAAGTGTCAAAATCAGGAAAACAAAAGATTCAGAAGATTTTGTTTTTTTTGTTTATTGTTTTGAGACAGGGTTTCATTCTGTAGCTCAAGCTGGACTCAACTCAGTATCTAGGATGGCCTTATGATGATCCTCCCGACACAACCAAGTGTTGGCATAACAGGTGTAGACCACCATTTCCACTTTGTTAAAATAATCTAATTTGGGGGCTGGAGCACTTGCTGCTCTCCTAGAGGATTTGGTTTGGTTTCTGGTGCCCATGCGGCAGCTTAGCGATCCAATGCTCTCTTCTGGCTCCATGGGCACTCTGCATGTATGTGGTATGCATGCATACATAAAGGCAAGATAAAACATAAAACTAAATCTTAAATTAATTTCTCTGTAGGTGTGGTGGCTCACACCTTTAGACCCAGCACTTCAAAGGCAGAGGCAGGTTGATCACTATGAGTTCCACACCAGCCAAGGCTACATAGTGAGACCCTGTCTCAAATAAACAAAACCTTAAATGCCGAAACTTTTTTTTTTTTTAAATTGGTTTACCTGTATCTGGAAAGCATTTTATTTTAGAAAAATTAGAAGAATTTCTTTGGGAAAGTGAATTGTTGTTAGTAGTGGAGTAACAGACTCTTGTGTCAGGCTCTGGGTTCATTTCCAAGCACTACTACCCTCTCCCCCAACAGTGAATTGTGTTATGCTTGCTCAGGAACTACGAATTGCTTTAAATGCCCACTTAGAACTGTCTTTACTTAACCACAGGGTCTAGCCCTCTAATCCTGAAAGGTTCTTATTTGTACTGAAGCGGTCTCTTTGAAATGTTAGGGAACTAGGATCCACAGGGCAAACAATTTCTTCTGAAATGTCTTATCTGTGACATTTGATGACATTTGCTTGAGCTGTTAGCACTCTTTAACAATCTAGACCATCCTATCTCTTAAGGCTTACTGACTAGTGGACAAATAACCTTTAAAGACCGAAGTACATAGGCTGGGCATAATACAAGCATAGGGAGCAAATTCTCTGGAAACTGCTTTTTGTGTTGTTAGATTAGGCAAGTCTACCCCCCATTCGCATTATGTGATTCAGTGTTTTATTGGTGCTTAATTAAAGTGAAATGGTGAAAATTTGGAAATTTAACATTAATTATTATGCTTATTAAAAAATAAGAATCCATTTTCAAATTTTATCTTAGGTTTCTTGACCTTTTCTTAATTTTGTGGAATATGCCTCACTGTCAGTTAGTCTGATATTTACTTAATATTAGACTGAAGTTATGTAGTTTTGTGATAAAGTACTACAGAGGCCACAGGTGTCAGATCCAGTGGATTTGGAGTTATAGTTGTGAGCTGCCCGATGTGAGTGCTGGGTGATTGAACTTGGGTCTTCTGGAAGAGCAGTATGTGCTGGCTTCGGACTCACAGAGATCGCCCACCTCTGCCTCCCAGGTGCTGGAAATAAAGGTGTGAGCCACAACCATGGCAGTATTTACTTTTAACTGCTGAGCCATCCCTATAGTCTCTAGAATAATATTTTATCTTTCCTAATGTATCATGACAAGAGATACATGGTGTCAGTTTGTCCTCTGTTACTGATGTTAATTTTGATAATTTGGTTAAGGGTATGTGGTCCATGTTTTTTTGTAAGGTAAAGTTAGTGTTTTGTCATAAATAATCTGGGTTTCTATGGCACCATGTAGTTATTCAGTATTTCAGTTACTGTCTATCTACTTGGTTTTAGGCTTTTTTTTTTTTTGGTTTTTCGAGACACGATTTCTCTGTATAGTTTTGGTGCCTGTCCTGGAGCTCACTCTATAGACCAGGCTGGCCTCGAACTCACAGAGATCTGCCTGGCTCTGCCTCCCAAGTGCTGGGATTAAAGGTGTGTGCCACTACCGCCCGGTTTAATGAACATTTTTAATGTGGTTTTTCTGAATTGAGTTATTTCATAAGTGTAAAGTAATACATGCTATATTTTGAATACTTGGTGCCTAGATAAAATATCTCTAATAAAAAAATATATTGATTCCGGGCAGCGGTGGTGCATGCCTTTAGTCCCAGCACTCAGGAGGTAGAGCCAAGGCAGATAGATCTCTGAGTTTGAGGCCGTCTTGGTCTACAGAGCGAGATCCAGGACAGGTACCAAAACTACACAGATAAATCCTGTCTCAAAAAGCAAAAACAAAAACAAAAAAACTAAAACAAAAATGAAATGGATACTGCAGTAGATGTGGTGGAATAAGAGAAAAATTTCTGTATTAGTTTCTGAAGAAATTTCCTTCCTTCCTTCCTTTTTTTTTTTTTAAATCAGGGTCTCACTATATAGCCTTGGATGGCCTGGAACTCAGTATGTAGAACAGCCTGGCTTCAAACTCATAGAGATTTGACTGCCTCTGACCCGCCCCCCCCTCCAAGTGCTGGGATTAAAAGCATGTGTCATCAGGCTTGGCAGAAATTTCTTTCAAAATACCCTTCACTTTAGCTTTTCATGCTGCACCGTTGTTGGACTGGAGAAACTGGAACTAGAAGTATCTTGGTATTAGAGAAGTCAAAATGGAAAGGTTCTCTGTGCTCAGGATTGTCCTTTAGTGTTTTTAGACATAAAATTGTTATGTATTCGAGGTCATTTTCAGGTTAGTTACAATTATTTCCTCTTGTAAATTCTTCTTTACTGATGGAAAAGTCTTTGTTAGAGGTTTATTTTATGTTTTTGTTTGACGTTTGCCTGACTTTGGCTTTTTGTTTCTTAGAAATGACTGCCGTCCACACGGGCAACATAAACTTCAAATGGGACCCAAAAAGTCTAGAGATCAGGACTCTGGCTGTTGAGCGACTATTGGAGCCTCTTGTTACACAGGTGAGAATCTGGAAACGCAAATACACAGCTGTTCTGTCATTCTTTTGCAATAGGCCTGACTAACAGACTCGTGACCGAGCTTGTTAGCTCAGAGTCTTTATTGAACTGGTTGAGTTTAGTTAGTCGGATAAGTACTTAGATGATTTGGCTCCATTACTATCGACACATATTTATTTATTAAAAATTATTTTTATTTTATGTGCATTGGTGTTTTGCCTGCATGTGTCTGTGTGAGAGTGTCAGATCTTGGAGTTACAGACAGTTGTTAGCTGACATGTGGGTGCTGGGAATTGAACCCAGATCCTCTGGAAGAACAGCATGTGCTCCTAACCGCTGAGCCATCTCACCAGCCCCACATACATTTACTTAATTCTTTTTGTTACTGTTTTTGAGACAAGGTTTTGTATCACCAAGACTGGTCTTAAAGCTCCTTAGGTAGCTGAGGCTGAACTTGAACTCTCCTGATTGCTGTCTTCACCGTGTAAATACTGCTTGGCCTAGAGCCATGTGCCGCTATGCCTAGCTTTAGTTAATTCTTTAGACTACAGCTGCTACCCTTCTCTAAAGTCTTACTGCTGGTAGTAAAGGTTGTTAGTATGTAGTGCACATTTCCAAATGTGTGTGCTTTGCTGATAACGTCACCCTCCATTAGAGAGGAAATCAAGGAAGATGGAACTTGATTGTCATGGTGCCTCATTCAGCTTAGTCACCTTTCGTCGTGTAGGGTCAGTTGGCAGGTAACTGAGTTTGAGGGTGTGGGTTTGGTATTTTCTGTTACAATACATGTATCATAATGTGATGGCATTTAGTAACAGCAGCTAGCTATATATTTTTACTCTTGGCATAGCTAGTATATGTGTATATTTATGTATTAGAGGAGAGAGAAAATGCGAATGGCATTTACCGTCTTCAAAGATTGCCTTCCAAGTCATAAACTACTATTTTATGTATCTCTATGTAGCTGTGTGGGGGTTAGGTGCAATATTTGCTTTCTTGAACCCAGTATATTCTGTACCTTTCAGGTCTGTGTTTGGCAGGTTTATACTGTAACAAGTCTTTAATCATCTTCAACCTACAGATCATCTGGTATATTAAACTTATTAATGATGGCTAAAGTTCTGGAACTTTAAGCATCATCACAGTAGGCTTCTGTGGGCAATCTTTCTTTTCTTTATTAAGGACCTTTACTAATTAATGCTAAGATTTGTGTTAATAAGCAAGCTTGAACAGACTTCAGAAGTAAGTTTTCTTAAAGCATTTTGCAGATTGGTAACAATGATATAAGTAGTCTTCTGGTAAAGCGGAATTCATCATTCAGCTTTTTCTGGAATTTCTTCACTAAAAAAAGAGGCATTGCATTTATCACTAATCTTAGTTTCAGTCCGTGAAGTTATTCCAAAAACTAATGATTGTTTAAGAAATTAAAATGCCGCCTTTAATCCCAGCACTCGGGAGGCAGAGCCAGGTGGATCTCTGTGAGTTCGAGGCCAGCCTGGGCTACCAAGTGAGTTCCAGGAAAAGGCGCAAAGCTACACAGAGAAACCCTGTCTCGAAAAACCAAAAAAAAAAAAAAAAAAAAAAAAAAATTAAAATGCATTACATTTCTTGTCTTACATATTAAGAAATAAATTGTTTTGGAAACTAAACATAGCATCATTTTTCTGTTAACAAATCTGGAAAGAATTGTGTTATGCTTAGCAAGCTCTCTAAATCTAAGTGTGATGCCTTACTTCCTTATGAACATAGGTTTGCTAAGTCTTTAAAGATATTAGTCTGTTAGTTTTCATTTTAAATGATTTATTTTTTTTTTTAAACTTAAACTCTTAGGTGACAACCCTGGTAAACACCAACAGTAAAGGGCCCTCTAATAAGAAGAGAGGCCGTTCTAAGAAGGCCCATGTTTTGGCTGCATCTGTTGAACAAGCAACTGAGAATTTTTTGGAAAAGGGGGATAAAATTGCAAAAGAGAGTCAATTTCTCAAGGAGGAGCTTGTGGCTGCTGTAGAAGATGTTAGAAAACAAGGTAGGTCAATAATTGCTTTACATATGAAGAGAGATATATCTTCCTAGAAATTCAGTAAAATTTAAAAGTTACATTTATTTATATCTGTACACGGACCTGTGTTTGTACTCAGCATGCATGTGGAAGTCTGAGGACAGCTTGTGGGAGTTAGTTTTTTTTTTTAAAAAAAAACTGTGTGTGTCCTGGGGATTGAACTCAGGTTGTCAAGCTTGGAAGCAACAGCCTTGCTTGAGCCATCTCACTGGCCCTGATTGGCTTTGTTTCTCATGGGTTACTCACCAGGGGGAAAGTTGGCTACTGTGCCATAAGAACACTCAGGGAGTTCTGTAGTGAGGAGGTAAAGCCATCAGCAGACTTTTCCAAGCATATGAGTAAACTACTTTGCAAATAGGTATCCATTCCTCCCCTGAGGAGTGTACATGTTCCTTTGAAGCTACCATTGTTTTTTGGATGATTTATTATTCAGCAGAAGAAAATATGAATTCCTTTCTCTAGAAGGCCTTTAGTGATCCTAAGCCCTGATGTTACTTGTTTTACTAGTATATTAAATAAATGCTTATCTAAGAAAATGCCTTGTTGGTATCTGTGGAAACATCTTGCTCCTAAAGGTAGTGTAAGGTATGTTTGCTCTGTATCAGTGTTGACTACTTTTGATTAGATAGGCGTTTCTAGATTTTTTTTTGGTAAAGGGCCAGATAGTATTTTAGTTTTACTGGCCATAGAATCTCTGCTGAAACTATTCAGCCCTGCTGTTGAGTTTAGAAAACAGCTATGGAGAATATATGCATAAATGCACAATGTGTAATCTGATAAAACTTATAAAAGCAGAAGGTATGCTGTTTTGATATACAAAATACAGTTTGCTAATTCCTAATCTAAGATTTTTCCTACACTGTTTAAAAAAAAAACCAAGTTTGCCATATTCAAAGAAGTATTTGTTTATACATTTATAATAAATACTTTTGAGTTCTAAGTCAGACCTTCTGTGTTTGGGGTTTGTGTGTGCCCTGTGCTTTCTTTTCTATACAACCATAATTAATGAACGCATACAGTTTTGTAGCATAAATTTCTTTTTGTATTAGTCCCTTATATGAATAACATGAATGAAAATTTGGGTACCTTAAAACACTACCTGCCATAATGCTATAAATGTGTCAGAAATGCCCACATTCATAAACTCAGGTCCATTTTCCCCTAGGGTAATAAAATGACCAGGTGAGCCTCCTGTGGAAAGTGGGAGTCAGTTATTAATTTCAGGACTTCTAAACTCCTATGGTCTCGGGTTGCATTATAATGACAGTCTGCTTAGGCTAGGTGCTGAGCCTTGTATAGGCTGACCCATACTGGTGTTTCTCATATGTACCCTTTCTTTGATGAGGTCAGTCTTAGCTTTGTTTTTGTTTCTGGTTTTTTCCCTAGTTCTTTTTACAGTGATAATTAAATGGGTTGCCCTCCCCTTTGCAGTATATTTTGTAGTCTGGTGGTCTTTCTCTGTGGTACCTAACATGGTACTGGTTTGTGATAGGCACATGTTTTAGGATAAGTAACTTTCCTAGAGAGTACAATGTGAGTCTGTATTTCCTTTCTCAAAATTGGAGTGTTGTTTTACTTCTCGTTGACAAATATGAATGCTCTCATGTAGGTGAAGAATCATAAAAAGTTGATACAGTGCACATGGTGTAAGAGTTATCCTTTCAGTGTTTTTAGTATATTCACAGGGTTAAGCAGCCATAGTTGCTGTCTTTTTTTTTTTCTTTTAATTTCTTCTCTTAAGGTTTTTATTTTTATGTGCATTGGTGTTCGACCTACATGTCTTTGTGAGAGAGTCAGATCCACTGGTCCTTGAGTTACAGACAGTTGTGAGCTGCAATGTGGGTCCTCTGGAAGAGCAGCCAGTGCTCTTAACCACTGAGACATCTCTCCAGCCCCATTGTTGCTGTCTTAGGTTCGGAGCACTTCTGTTACCCACAAAGACACCTTTTACTCATCATGAGTCACTGATGTCTTGTGCACACAGTAGGTTCTTTTCTTTTAATTTTAATTTTTAAAGATGGGGTCTTGCTACCTGGGTCATTTTGCCTCCATTTCCCAAATTATCATAACTGTGTGCCATCATGCCTGGCCCTATGCATATGTATTTCAACAGTTCATACAGAGGAGGTCTGCCTCTGGTTATCTTAAGAGTATTTTATGAGTCCTTGAATAGTAAGAGTTCTGACTAGAAGAAAAAGAAAGCACTTAGCTGCCTCTGGGACATTCAACAGACAGATGAGAGGATTTAAGTGATTGCAAAAGGAGAGCCGGCCTGTACCATGGTCCACATTTAGAGTAGGTCTTTCTCGGTTAACCTAATCTAGATAACCCCACATAGATATTCCTGGAAATTTGTTTCCATAATGATTCTAAATCTGAACAAGTTGCTACTCAAGATAATTATTACATACCTTTTAATGGAATAGACTTTTACTTGATGGTTGTTGTGAGACTTGCCTGTAATCTTACCTCTTAGAGAGCTTAGGCAGAAACCGGGCGTTGGTGGCACATGCACTTGGGAGGCAGAGGCAGGCAGATCTCTGTGATTTCGAGGCCAGCCTGGTCTACAGAGCGAGTTCCAGGACAGGCTACAAAGCTACAGAGAAACCCTGTCTCGAAAAACCAAAAAAAGAGAAAGCTTAGGCAGGAAGATTGAGAATTGCACCTGGGATACATAGTCAGCCCTTATCCTTAAAAATAAAGAACTAAGCTAAAACAGCAGGACTTGTAATATTGGGCCCCAATCAGCAGTTGGCTTTCAAAAGCTGATAGTAGGGACTTGTTCTAATACCAGCAACTTCTTCCCTGCTGCCCAAGCATCCACCTGGGTGAAGACTCAAAGAAGCCGAGGCACACCTTTGTATAATCTTTTATTGTTTCCAATAACATTGTTTTTCAGTAAAGAGGCCAAGTAGCTATCATGGGCTACAAAATGAGATGGGGGGTGGGGGGCGGGCACCGACAAAATCCAGAAAGAAAATGAAAGAGGATTCAAATAAATACATGATTGGGTAAAAGTGAATCTTCTAGGAAGAATGTATGTTGGGGAAAAAGAAAAACCCAACAGAATTTGATTATGTGTGTTCCTCTGACAGGGGAGACACTGTTCTAGTATTGTCTTAGTTATCTGTTGCTATACAGACACCATGACCAAGACAACTTACAGAAGGAAGAGTTTATTGGGGACTTACAGTTTCAGAGGGTTAGCTAGAGTCCATGATGGTCATGGTGGGGAGCGTGGTGGCAGGCAGGCATGGTGCTGCTGGAGCAGTAGCTGAGAGCTGCATCTTTACTATAAGCGTGAAGCAGAGAGAGAGACACACACACTGGGAATGGTGTGAACCTTTGAAACCTCAAAGCCCATCTCCTGGACATTCCTCATCCACACCTCCTAATCCTTGCCAGACAGCTCCACCAACTGGGCCAAACATTCAAATATATGACCTGTAGAGGCAAGTCTCATCCATGCCCCCAAAGCAGAGAGGCTGTTTTTTCTGTTTTGTTGTAGAACTTATAGTTGGGACAAATGGATATGAAACATAAATTAATAGAATGAATATAGAAAGAATGATGAGAAGATAAATACCAGGTTAGAAATCTTCCATAATGTGTTAGAACATCCCTTGGCTCTTGAAGTGGAGAAGAAAAGGAGAATGTCATCCAGGGAAGCAGGAGCACATTCAAGTCATGCCTGGAGAATGGTGAGGACTCCCACTGCAGGAGAATGTTAATGGAGCACTGCTGATAGGAAAGGTTAGGGGAGGCCGGAGGGGGAGGGGTTGGCTCAAGTGGTAGAGTGGTTGCTAAGCATGCGCAAGGTCCTGGGCTGGATCTCAGAAAACACCCTCCCCCTAAGTGGTCTCGGAAATTATTTCCTGTGCGTTTTTTGTTTTCATTCTGTTTTCATGCCCAGGCTGGCCTTGGATTTACCTTTCAGCCTCTCAAATAGCTGGAGTTAAGGGTGTGCTCTTGGCTTAGGGCGCTGTTTTAGAGAGTGGCTTGGAATGCCAGGTGTGGAAGGGCAGGACTTTTAGGGAATGATATAGAATCACAGGATTCTATTGTTGGGACAGGTTTTCAGCTTCCCATATGTTCCAGTACATCAAGTGATGCAGGGCCCACTCCCTCGGGAAGCAGCTCTTTCCAGTATTGGTTTGTGTTTATTTTTAAAACTTAAAAAAAAAAAATTAAGCCGGGCGGTGGTGGCGCACGCCTTTAATCCCAGCACTCGGGAGGCAGAGCCAGGCGGATCTCTGTGAGTTCGAGGCCAGCCTGGGCTACCAAGTGAGTTCCAGGAGAGGCGCAAAGCTACACAGAGAAACCCTGTCTCGAAAAACCAAAAAAAAAAAAGAAAAAATTAAACTGAAATGTTTCTTTAATTTTAAGAAGTTCTACCATCTAGGCAACATCAAATATAAGGAAAAGTGGTGGTTTGTGGGAGATTAGTCTCTGAGCTTTGCACAGGAAGGTTAGAGAGGTTGAGAGGTAGGAGAGAGTAAAGGCAGGACCCCGAGTCTGGACACCATTGTCACTGCTGCGTGGTAACAGGAGTGGAGGGAGAAGTGCAGAGGAGTAAATTGTCATGCAGTAACTCTTGTGCAAATAACTATTCTTTTAATAGATAAATTAAGGGACTTGCTACATGAAATACCGTGTAATTTATTTTCTTGTAACCTGAATGGTGGGTGCTAAGAACTGGGGCAAATTCTTTTTTTTTTTTCTTTTTTAAGATTTATTTATTTATTATGTATACAGTGTTTTGTCTGCATATATCCCTGCAGGCCAGAAGAGGGCACCAGATCTCATTACAGATGGTTGTGAGCCACCATGTGGTTGCTGGGAATTGAACTCAGGACCTTTGGAAGAGCAGTCAGTGCTCTTAACCTCTGAGCCATCTCTCCAGCCCCATGGGGCAAATTCTTTAAAGTTAGAAGTATTTGTTCCAGGAACTTGGGTTGTAGCTCAGC